GATCCTGTGCTACGACGGCCTTAAAGAAGGATCCTGTGCTACGACGGTTTGAAAGGATCCTGTGTTACGAGGGCCTTAAAGCAGGATCCTGTGCTACGACGAAGGATGCTGTGCTACGAGGGCCTTAAAGAAGGATCCTGTGCTACGAGGGGCTTAAAGAAGGATCCTGTGCTCCTCTGCTACGAGGGTCTCAAAGAAGGATCCTGTGCTACAACGGCCTTGAAGAATAGTCGTGTTCTCCACCCCCTCGAATTGGGAAAAGTAATAGTAGTCGTGGCCCCCCCCCCCCTCCCTGTGCTACGAGGGCCTTAAAGAAGGATCCTGTGCTACGAAGGCCATAAAGAAGGATCCTGTGCTACGAGGAAGTAGTAGTAGTCGTGCCCCCCCCCCGTCCTGGAACTGGGAAAAGTAATAGTAGTCGAAGCCCCTCCCCCTTTCTGTGCTACGAGGGTTTTGAAGAAGGATCCTGTGCTACGAGGACCTCAAAGAAGGATCCTGTGCTACGAGGCCTCGTCGAATCCTCTTTACAGGCCCTAAAAGAAGAATCCTGTGCTACGACGGCCATAAAGAAGGATCCTGTGCTGCGACGGCGTTAAAGAAGGATCCTGTGCTACGAGGGCCTTAAAGAAGGATCCTGTGCTACGAGGGCCTTAAAAAAGGATGGCGTTAAAGGAGGATCCTGTGCTACGAGGGCCGTAAAGAAGGATCCTGTGCTACGAGGGGCTTAAAGAAGGATCCTGTGCTGCGACGGCGTTAAGAAGGATCCTGTGCTACGAGGGCCGTAAAGACGGATCCTGTGCTACGAGGGGCTTAAAGAAGGATCCTGTGCTAGGACGGCCTTAAAGATAGCGCTCAGACTACGACGACAACCACAACAACCTCTGCTACTACTATAACAACTATTCCTGTTCAGCTACTAGAGCGCTAAAGAAAGAGAACCTGCTATGATTGAAGATCTTTTCACGTATCTTGACAGCAGACGTGAATCTCTCGAAAGAGACTGTTTGAGACCGATCAAGCCCGGTCAGTGGGATATATATGTTCACCGTGG